CAACAATGATTGATAATAAATCAACGAATATATTATTAAATTCTGAGTAGTTATGAATCGAATTAGTTATTTTGGTCGTAGTTATATTTGATTCTAAATCTAAAATAATTTWGTTGATTTAATGAATCGATTTAACTCTCCATTCAAATAGCCCATGCACAAATTAAATCTTTTCGTATTTTATATTACATAATGCCGAAAACCAGTATTATACTAAAATGTATAACTAATATTTTTTAGATATTACGTACTTTTGATTTAAGTATTTTATGAAAGTAATGTATTACCTAATTGAGGTAGGTAGTATAAAGTTAAATATACTTTTAATTTGTATACCCTCTGAAAAAATAATGCGTCTTATTTTCTTATTTATTAATAAAATAAAATTGTTAATTTATAATTTAAAAAATTGAATTAGGTACGAATGTTACCTATAAGGCCAAAATACACAAACGCATCTCAAATTTGCAAATGTATACAACTTATAAGTTCAAAAAGTGATAACTTATTAAACAACTCAATAGGATAAACAAATTATGTGTGATATTCCATTATGAAAACTCAAGCCGAATATACATGTATACTGTATAGATAATAAAGTAAAAGAAGATTTTAACGAAGGTGCACTTGTTTACTCCTTATATAGTTATATGTTGCAGGCTGGTAACTTTGCTAGCAAATATATGCTTATATAGACAACTAAAATCATAAATATCTATCGATCAATAATTGTGAAATATAACGTYACGTACTTGCATAGGTTTCAATATAAAATATATTGTTGTGTTTATGAACCACTTTAAAAATTAATTTCCAAGAATAAAAGATTTTTTTTGCTCGCGGTTAAATAATTATATTATGGCAAAAACTCATCCAGTTTATACACAAATGTTATGGGTTTTGAAATATGGAATATACATTTAATAATTTGAAATGTTTAATACACATCGTTTATATAGCTTTTTTTTATCCTTCTTCTTAAACAAATGATCATAGATAAATTAAAACCCCATTGTTCTTTATCTACAATAAAATACATTCGYTTTTTTTTATTACTTAAAATAATGAATTTTACATTATTTGTGTACAGAAAAACTCATTAATATTTACAAATCCAATGCATTATATCATCTGTCTGAACAAATAGTAATGTTTATTTAAAATATGGTTGAACTGGTGGCATATTTGCTCAATTATGTCACTCATCATTTGATTAAGGTATAATATATGATATAACTAAGTAATGATATTTGTTAAAATACAAATGTCAAGATATGTATTTATTAATCAAATCTGTTATAGAGTTGTCCATTTGTTTTATATGAAATAAATGAGAACAATATAAATTTAAAAATGAATCATTTCATTAGTAATAACTACGTAGGTACGTTGTTTAGTACCTACATCAATATACAAYATTTAAACGTGTTCAAAATGATTTGTTTTCCGTAGTTTTAAGAGTCCTGTGATGGTATGAATCATTTACAATAAGCCATTATAATTATTAGTGTTACACATATTTTTTATTCACTCCAACACAATTTCCTAATACAGTATACATCTCCTGAAAGGAKAACTCTGGAAAAATTATTTTGGATGGTTCAAAATCTTATAAAAACCTGAAACTGGTTGTTTTTTCCTAACTTACTAGCTGTACTACCAGACTATTTTAAAAATATGTGTAAATTAAATTTTGACTTCATTAAATTCCCAATTCAAATACCTGTAAGGCTTGAAAATAAAATATTCAAAATTGCAATGTTTCTATCAAAATGTAACATCATAACTTCAAAACATTCATATTTATAATAAATAAATATTCTAAAAGTAGATAACAGTCGAAAACAGTGTTTAGTGACAACATGCAGGTAGGTATAAGTATAGGTAACTATACATTTTATTTTCACATGAATTTTCAGTAAATATCTACAATATAATTTGTATTAAATTGTAATAAATACATTTCACAACAAAAAAATAAATAAGTATTTAACATGTGTTATTATTTAAGCTAAAAATCCTATGGATAATTTACGTATTTTTTAACCATGAAGACGGAACCCCCAAAACATATCTGAGCCTGCCATTGTTTTAAGCGCTATATTATACTCTCAAACTAAAGTCATATTACACCTATCTCATTACGTAGTACCTATTTTATCTATTTTAAATTTAAAATATTTTATTAAGTACACGGAATTAGCATACAGAGACTTGTAAAGGCAAACCGTAAAACTGTTGATGTGTAAGCTCAATGCGATTAGTTTACTCATTAACAGTTATTAGTTCATAATATTATATATATATTTCAGTCAGAGCTGCATTAATTATTGTCTTTTGGTATAACAATGTTGAATATACACTTACTGCTTAGTTATAATTTTAGGCTTTACCAAAATAATATATTTCTACCTAGTTTAATCAATAATAGCAGTGTTATTCTTGCTAAAAGGCAAATAGGTACGTAATACGTTTCACTTGTTACGATCGTTGTTAATTATTTATACCAGCATCTCCTTAATGTTTTATACCTACTGTTTTGTATTTTTATTTTTTGGTATGACAAATGATTTTTTTTCAATGTGTTTTAGGAAACTGGTGTCTATATTTTGTGATTTGCAAATAAAATTTAAATAATAGTCATTGTTGTCAAGTTAAAGTTGTCAATACATAGTATTGTGTCAGAGAAGCAAACTTAATTTTTAGAACAAATACAAATATCGACGATGATGCTGAAATACATTAATTGATGAATTAACTGAGTTATAGTGGTCCGCTATTGTTTTTGATCATTATTCATTAGCTAGAGCTGTGTGTTTATAATAGAACAATAATGATGATAGTAATAATAATAGTAATTCTAGATATGGAAGTGGTTGTTTTGGGTAAACATTCTGTATTTTGCAACAATCATTAAAATAAAATATGTCATATAATTTGTGAATAGGACATGCACATTTCTCTCCCTGCGATTTTCGATGTAAAATCATAAGAGATAAACTACTTTGGGATTATAATATAGAAAAATAATGATATTATTCATTGAATTTCCATAACTATTTAAAAAAAAACATAGTATAATGTTTCAATGCCTTTTTATACTCCATTGGTATACCGGTAGGTATACGTAGAATTGAATGATCATAGGGATTTTTTAATTAAAAGGATTCATATAAAAATAAAAATAGTAATTTCTATAAATAATATCTAAATTTAAATATAATATGTATAATGTTTACAATTATATTATACTTAACACTTAATGAAATTCATAACTGAAAATTAATTTWAAAAAATGCGATTTCTAATACGATTATACAACTCATTATTATATCTCTATCATTAAACTGATAATCGATTTTATCACGCGATGATTATTATTTCGCAATTTTATCTATAACCTTTATATAAAAATCAACAAAAAAAGGTAATCTCTCAAAGTGTAGGTATATTATTTTCACTCCCAAATCTTTTTGTCAACAACTAAGTAAAATGGCAATGATTATATACACTCATTCCATGAAATAAAAATATTATAGAATCAATTAAATAATAATATATAATATATGTATTGCAAACATAAATATGTAAACGATACATTTTAATAAATATCATAATTATATTTATRARTAATAGCAATAATGTCAAATTACGTAAATTTAAATAATAGAAATAGATTTATGTTGAATTATCTTTATTTAACATTATTTTAAAAACAATTATTAAAATTATTTTCTAAAGTTAAAAAGTGTAGTAATAGTACCTACTACTGCATTAAGTTTAAGTCAAATTGTTAAAAGACATTTTTATTTTTTATTTTAGAGAATTTTTTAATGCTTCCGCGTACTAAGTATAACTGATAAATGTACGTATTCTTTAATTTACATTACCTACATACCGGTAGTGATATTACATTAATGAACTTCGAACTCCATATTACAAGTTAAAAATATTTGTAAAACATATTTAATAAATAATATAATTCTTTGAAATAGGTATAATATAATATAAGTAATAAGTATGGCCTATTAATAAATGAATTAAAAAAAAAGAAAAATAATATGGGCTTAATATATACGTACCTACYTAATGTTAAACCAATACCTACATTGTTGTTTTGAGAATTTGATTTTTATTGAAAATGTACTGCACTACGTCTCCCCATTAAATATTCAAGATCATTAATGATAAGTGCTATTGAATTATGTAGATGTCCGTTGCTCAATTAATTTTGTTTTAAAAACATGTGAAATTTAGGAATCTCAGCCACATTATAGGTATTGAAATGATTGGTGGCGTATTTTTTATTGAGACTGTTACAACARTAAAAAATAGTAATTATGCTTTTTGTGTGCAAAATGGTCGGTWACAGGACATGTCTTAATTTCAATCATTGTTATTATAAAAAATACAACGTATACTTATCATTAAAGCGTATTTTATGCATTACCTATAACAATAATCCATTCGCACAAGTGACAYATTTCAATTTTAGACAATGAGGTGCGGGAATAATATGCTCACTGACACTGTTATTATAATGGTCATAAAAAAAGTATTAACGACGGATCATCTATCATGTAATCACTTATGGATACGTGCAAAGGGGGGGGATTTATTTTGCATCTAGGTCATTAACAGTTTTGGTTTTATCGAATTAAAAGCATTTTTACAACTTTACAAGACTCTTAAATGTGTGGTCTAACCTATTATGTATACAAATACAATTTTAATATTCTTAGAAAATTAATATTAATRTTATATTTTATTTTGTTAATAACTTGTGTACCTAATTTATATGTTTTTTTTTATATATAATTCCCTCCACGTAGAATCCTACACACTGGTTGATCATGCACGAATGTCGTATGCCGTAGTATCCGTGTCAAATACTATTGATTAAAATTCAATGTATATTTTACTTCACGTATAATTCGTTCGATTGTATAATAAAAGTAGAAAATATAAGGAACGTGTTACTTACTTGTTGTGTTTTCACCACTCCAGAGATTGTACCTTCTAAATTCACTGACGTACCGCCTCGTTGTTCTTCCAATAAGACCATCAGGGACGACACATCCATCGTACGAGTGGAATTGGTCGATAAACCAACGTTAAATCGTTGATTTTTTTTTAATAGATACCATTCGATTGTAGCCAATGGTCTAGATCCTTTCGAACGACACTCGGCTTGATACACCCGGTCGGCTCTTATTGTATATTTCTTGTGACCAACTGTATCTTCTGACGCGGGGACATCATTTTTATCAACCACCGGGCTTTCATTACTTTTCAAATGGTTTGTGTATCGCTTTATTGATATGATTTGAACATCGGTGGGTTTCACTGTAAAATAATTTTTAGTTATGTTATACACCGGCGGTACAAATGAGTTGATTATTTAGTATCTGTAGCCAATAGCCATGTATTAAATGTATTATACGAGACGATATTATTATCTATATCATTGATGATAAAATATAAACCAAAAAGGTACAAATAATCAAAGGAAAATCAATATTTACAACATGTGAATACAATAAACCAATTTATAACGATTAAAGGAATCGGCTTAGATAGTAATAACTTTGAACATTTGGTTTGCAGTGAATAATACGAAATAATTATCAAACATATAGTAGGTAGTAGGTACTATGAATTCAAAGCGATTATTATAGGTATCGATAATAGATGAAATTTAAAAAATACAATGTCGCATTTTTAATACACAGATTTTATAGTGGGCGGAGGTTGTTATTTTTAAGAATATCAGTTATTATAAGCCCCAATAAAATTCAAAAACTAAATTTTAATAAGTATTTAATTTACGAAGGATATATTTTTATTCTAAGATATAGGTATAACCGTAAAGGATAGATTTATAAGAAGAATAATACGATGAATGTTATCAGCATTGGCCGACGCTTCATGTGTTATGAATGACAGTTTGCCAAACCTAAGTAAAATAAGTACCAGCAAGTACTGACGATATTCCACCAAAAAAATTTKAAATACTGTCGGAAATCATATTATACACAATATCTAAAGGTAGTGAAACAAAATGGCAAATAAACAGCATTGTAGAAATATTCTGTTTTTTTATGAATTCAAGAAAATATATATTTATATAGGTAGGTTGACAGGAAGTATACAAGTCAATGGATGGGTACGTTATTATTACATAATATTGGAATTGTAACCAAGCTAGGCTTGATGCACCTATTATGCAACCATAATTTTATAATATTTTGTTATATAGTTTTCTAAATGCAAAAAAAAAAGAACGAGGGGCTCTACCAACACTCCCATAAAACATTTTCTATACTATTATCTTAAAATTAGTATTTTTACTTATTATTAATCATAAGAATAAAAATATTGACTWTATACTTGAAGAATATTACCTATAAATAATTAACATTACATATTATGTGAGTTGGGTCAAATCTATGAAAAAAAAATTGAATAATTGACTATTAATGATCATTTTTCAATTTTTGTAGTTAAATGATGTAAAAAGTTGTTAACAAAATAATAATATTATRTAGGTATTTCTTACAGATTTCGGGTCTAACTTTTAGAACCACTAATATTAGTAGTTTAAAATATATAAATCWATAATAAGAATTGTAATTTTAACAATCAATTTAAATACACAATGAATACATTTTTAATTCATATTTTTTATGTATTATTTATCACATTACATTGTACATATTACCATAGAATTCCCAGAATTCAAATATTTAAATTAATAATTATCAACTATACACCTACCTACTTTTATGTTTTAACAATACTGTTGAAGCTCGTTTATCACAACATGGGTCATGTTACTTACAACTAAACGCAGTGTACAAACTTTTCTTACTGTATACATTATGTATTGTATTGTTCATTAAAATTTAAGGGTTGGATTTATGTTTAATTTGTTTTTATTAATTTATTCAAATACATATAATACCTAATTAAACAATTTTAATAACTTTTAGTAAAAATGATTATGATTATAAGGCGTTATTGAATCCCCGACTAATGAAATAAAACTAACAACTCGTTAAGTGTTTTACAAGCAGAGTAAATTACACCAAGGGAAACATTAATAAGGAAGAATTTTTAAAACTTAAATGCACAATATTACTATACATTTTAATATTTTACGATGAGATTAAGAAATTTKCTGGTGTATGTTTATATACATTTWGAATAATCTTATATGCTACTTATAAAAGCTCTGCATGTAGGTACAACATGACTAAATTCCGAAGAAAGTCTTTCTGGGTTCAAACACTTCAAACTAATCTGATGTTTTTACTATAATATATCTTAGGTACATCAATGTAAAATTAAAATGTGTAATTTCTAAACGTATACTTACATAAGAATTCAAAATAAATAAATAAAAACCACTAGTAAAAATAAATACTTTAAAATTAAGAACTGATTAAAAAATAATGTCKTRGAGAAACAAGATTGTAAAAAACATTATAATTCTACAAGATTACAGTGTTATTTTAATATACATTAATTTCTATAGCTTATTAAAAATAGTTACATAGGTAAAATCTATTAAAGTTCACATCTTACATGAAATAATACAAATTTAAAACTATGAAATAWAGATACATATAATTTTAAATTGTAATTACAAATTATTTCATTTGTAACTAGAAAAAATGGAAATGTATGCTATTAATTATTCATATCTTTTATGTGATAAATTATTCTGAAAAGTCAATATTTATATTGAGAAAAAAAATTCGGACTGTCAATAATATGAGGTGCATCTGCGAATAYGAAATTTTTGCATGCTTATGTGGATTCGATATTTCGTTYCTTAATAATATTAAATGCATAATATAGTATTTTTTATATTCATCTCATGGACTATACAATATATCAATACAATACATAACAATATGATATTTCTTGTATTATATGTATATCATGAAAAAACTAAATATGCCTGATTGTTCTATTAACTTGAAAATTMAAATGTATGTATTTCGACACTTTATGATTTCCAATACCTACATAAAAAATAATAATTCACAAGATTTTAGATTCTGAAAATCATAATACGATGAAAAAATAATGAGTTTGATCCCTCATTGACTTTTTTTTTGTTTTTAATTTATTTTAGGTAATTACCATTTATTTATAATCATAAAATATCAGTGTTTCATTATAACTCTGGACAAAATATAACAAATCGACATTAAAACAAATAAACTTYCACAAACAACAAGAAAATAAAATTTTGTTGATATATATATAAAAAAATAACAAAGGTTTTTGTGCTTGAAAATCAAATGTTATCATTTTCAAATAACTAAAGGTCAATATTATATTATTTTAACACGTAATAAAAATTATCAGTCATTGAAATACACACTCTACTATAATGTCCCTTGTTTATATGATTTATTGGTAAGTGTACATTGGCATATAATCAATAATTATTAATGTTATATATTGTCTAAACAAATTGAATGTGCTAAAATATTCAAATTTACGTTGCTAAAACGGTAAACACATTTGAATAATACGTAATAAATATTTGGTTCAAATGTTCAATATGAAACTTATTAAATCCATAAAATCATGTATATAGTTATTAGAATATTCAATGAATTTAACGAGAATTAGACAAAACGATCAGAGATAATAAATACCTAGGTACTACAACAATAACAAAATCTATAATATATTAATATGGGTGGATATTATAAAGAAAATGTAGATTTTAGTGTATCTGCATAGGCAACAAAGTATAGTGGTGGTYAGATACGATGGATATTTAAGGTTAATATGTATTATACTATACAATATACAAACAAATATATTATTAACCAGGGAATGGTAAACATCTACCACATTTTCAAAAATGTATGTAGAACTAAAAATGGGTAAATCATTTGAACAATATTCTACTATACGTACATTGACYACCATAAACAAAATGCTTGAATATAGTTTGTTTAAAACTTATGTTGTTATTGGTAGGTCTCAAGAACTTCTTCACTCGTGTTATTATATATATGGTACCATCTTATTTAATTTTTTCAAATAGGTATAATGGACATTTCACGAAATTAACAAACGAGTCAGGTGACAGTAAATAGTGAGTAAAAAAAATGGTAAGTTAAGTATAATTGAACTTATTTGTCAACTGTTAAGCATAGACAGAGATAATATAAAAAAAACCTAAGTCATATATCATGACATAACGGCATAACAGGTCATTTAATAAATATTATCACATAAATAACATTTTTTTAGTCAAACTAATTTGAATCAGTAAATGAATTAAAAACAATTTTTTTAATAATGCAGAAATAAGTTATGGTATTCTGTAAAAATTAAATTCTGAAATCTCAAAGTATATATTAATTATAAATGAATGTTAATGACACTGTTAAGTAGAACAAACTCTTAAAAAYACTTTCGATAATAGCCTACCTACGTGGGCAAAATTACTCTTGACAATTACTCTTAATTAGGATTAATTTTTGAAGTTCAGATATATATATATATATATTTAGAATATATACTAAAACTGTGTGCAAATACGATTTTTAATTAAACTAGATGAAAGTTTATACTTTTGTTGAGTGCAATAACATTTACAATTTTAAAGTGGTAAACTATTGAAATTAGAAATTTATTATTGTTTTATTAAATTAAATACATTTTTTCATCGATAAATAAATATAATTTGAGTTTATAAACATCAATCAAATAAAWCTCAATTTTTGCATCGGAGTTTTTAAAACGTTTTAAAAATACAACTACAGCATAATCGAGTCTTCAAAATGTTTTCATATTCTATAGTTCTAAAAGTCATAATTTCAATATAGTTTTTCAATTAGCAATTATTGTWCACTATACAGGAAAAAAATGTCTCAGATAATAACAAACTCAGAAGAATGTTATATGCTATAATACATGTTAAACATAAGTTTTATTTTATTTATTCCATATATTTTTGTTTTTTTTTTTTTTTTGTGACAAAAGATATTCAAATTTACTTGTACAATTCCAAATTATATTGTTTTAAAAGTATAGAAGAAAATGTCAACATATTTGTTTTTATAAAATCCAAAACTTTTTTGCTAAGTTATAATGGACGGGCTTTTTCTCAATGTATTGTGAGCTCAGTAAATTAGCATTTTTTAATCACCAAACAATTGTTTCACAAACTTATTTAAATTAATTTGTTCTTTAATTATATGATAACTTAATGTAGAATTATATTTTGCTTAACAAATTTTAAAACTTTCTTCTGTATTATTTGTAGAATATTTTTGGCCACATTATTTAACTATTAACTAAATTATCTAATCCACTTTTCTCAAATAACTGCAGTTCATCCATCTACGTATGTGATGGTTATCAGTTGCCATTTGGAATAATTTAATATTATAACTGATTACCTGTGGAATAGAGTGAAATGATATGTATTATTCACAATTGTACATTTCAATTAAAATTAAACATAATAATATAACATGTTCATGTGTTCATGTAAATGTAGATAGTCTGATAATTTAATGATTTAAGTTTGGGAAAGCTGATGAGTAATTCCGTAGAACAGACAAATTCATATGAAAAGTTACTTTGAATATTTGGTGAAGACAAAAGTAAATATTATTGATGTTTTTTTTTTATTCTATAATCATAATATCCTAATATATTTCTTATATAATATGTCTATATTACTAAAATATAACTTACTAACACAAAATTGTTTTCGATATTTTGGAGTTAAATTTAAATACACTATTACGTAAATTTATTTGATGTGAACTCAAACAGTTTTAATTTATTGAATAGAAAGTAGGTACCAACAAATATTTAACTTCCTAGTATATAATTTGATAAATTATTGTCTTAAATAT